TTGCAGAGAGAAGTGTCTAGAAAGGTGCACGACCCCTAATGCAAGACACCCTTCTGAAATCTCTGCCCTGTTTTTATTAGCCAAACACCTTTAAGTCTCATCTCACAGAGCAAAGAGTTTTCCTTCCTCTCCTCAATTTACCTGCAGAATAAAGAAATAGCCAATTTAAGTGAACATTTATTGTATGTCTATTTCATGGCCTATATTGTTCTAAGTACTGGGAAATCAGCTGTAAATAAGACAGACAGTAAGTGTGCCCTCAAGGAGTTTATGTCCTAGTGAGGGACGACAGGCAATAAACATAAAAAGTGAATAAGAACTTTAGGTGCTAATAAATGTTATGAAAAAACTACCATAGGCCATTGAGATGAAGGTGATTGGGCAAGATGTAGTATTACTTCAGCTGCAGTGGTCAGGGAAAGCCTCTCCGTGAAAGTGACGTTTGAGTCATTTTTTTTTTTTTTTTTTACCACCTAACTGATAAAAAGGAAGAACCAGATGAAGATCGGAGGACCTCTCTAAGCAGAATGAGCAATAGGTGGGATGAGCTGAGACAGGAACAAACTTAGTGTGTACATGGGATTGAAAGAAAATCAAAGTAGTTGGAGCTCAGTGAACAAGGGGAAGAAGAGTGCAGGGAGGAGAGAGCAGAAAAGCAGATAGAGCAAGATTTGGCCTGTTTCACAGACACTAACAAGAAGTTTGTAGGTTGTTCTGATTGCATTAGGAAGTCTTTAGATGGTTTTAAGCAGGGAATTTATATTATTTGATTTATACTTTATAGAGATTACTCTGGATGCTGTGGATGGAGGAAGGGCAATGAGAGGTCAAGAGTGCAGCAAGGAGACCAGTGAGAGGTGAGCGGTAATGATGGCATTGACTTAGATGAGTAGAGATGGAGAGAAGTGGTTGGGTTTGGGATATATTTAAGAAGTTGGAGCCAATAGGAATCTGAATTTGAAGTAGATACTTATCGATGGACTGAATATGCTATGTGAGAAATGAGAAGAACCAAGTATGGCTCCTAGGTATGTGTCCTGAGCAACTTAGTGGGTATTGGTTTTATTTACTAGAATCAGGAAGGCTGGAGGAAGCAGACTTAGGGTAGGATAGAAATCAGTAGCTTTGTTTTGACAGTGTTAAATTTGAGACGCTTATTAGATATCCTAGTAGATATGCTGAGTGGGGAGTTGGATATACAAATCTGGAGCTCAAGTGAGAGTTTGGGTCTAGAGATACAAACTTAAAGTCATCAGTATATGAATGTTTTTGAAGCAACAGGAGGACTAGATGAGATGATCTAGGGAGACAGTATATATAGAGAGAGCTAAGGACAGAGTTCTGAATATTCCTAACATTTAAAAGTTCAATGGAGGTGGCATCTCTTCATGTCCAAGACAACTCTTTTTTATGTTCTCTGATTTTATCCACCCACCTCTTTTGTAACAGTTTAAAAATATTTGTAAATTCTTTGACTCTCCTCTAAGAGTTGGAGTCCTTATTCCCTTCCTTTCTATCCGGGCTGAGTCAGTAAGGCCAGTGACTTGTCTAACCAACAGAATTCACCGTAAGTGACATTCTGGGACCTAAAAAGACTAGGTCATTAAAAGTCTTGCAGCTTCTGTCCAGAACATTTAGAATATTCTCTTTGGAAGCCTGAGCCATCATGTAAGAAGTCCAATCATCCTGAGACTTCCCTGGGACAGGCCACCTGTAAGTGCTCTGGTTGACTTTCTCAGCTGAGCCCTACCTTCCAGTCACTCCTTCCAGGGCATCAGACATGAATGAAGCAATCTCGGACCTTCCAGATAACCAGTCCACCAGTAAATCTGGGAAGTAACTTCATATGACATCAGGTGGGAGAGAAGAATTGCTCAGCTGAGTCCTGCTCAAATCCTTGACCCCCAAATCATGATATAATAATATAATTGTTAAGTTTGGGATAATTTGTTATGCGGCTATAGAAAACTGTAACACCATCCCTTATTTTATAATCAATTCTTATCCCTTCTGGGTCATCCTACTTCTCAATACACACATTTTTTTTGTTAACAACTTTTTTCTTCCTTAATGGTTCTTTCTCCTCCACCTGTAAGTATGCTTAGTCTTTTTCATCTTGATAAAAACCTTCTTTAACCTTCAGTTCCCATTAATTCATCCATCTGCTGCAAAATCTGGCTTTTGCCTTTACCATGCCTCCTGAAATTCATCTGAGTTCACAAATGTTAACTCCTAATTAACAAAGCCATCACATATTTTTCTGTCCTTAAGTTGAACTATATCCAGTTTTAAAAGCTCTCATCATGATTTGGTTTTTCAAGGATGAAGAGAGCTGATGTGCTAGCCTGAGAAATAAGGTGAGAACCAGAACTAGTCTGCACAGCCAGGGACTTCAGGTCTTCAAGGCATGAGTTTCTTCAGCTGAATTATAAGAAACACTTCAAGACCAGGAGAAATCCTGAAGACAAGGTGGATTCAGAGTGAATGAACCAGGTAGAACAGAGTTGGGTAGGTGAAAATAAAATACCAACCATGAAAAATCATTAGATCTAGAATTCTGGTCTGGCATTTGAGCAACCAGTAGGATCAAACTCTAAATAGTAGAGCAGTAGGTTTGGGGGCTGGGGAGGCGGGGAGGGTAGACTTAGAGCAGCGTGGAAAACAGGTAGGAGGGAGCCCTTAAGCAGATTCTTAAACTTTACTGTGCCTGTGAATCAACTGGGTAAGTCTCATTAAAGATCCTGATTCCCCTGCCTTGTCCAAGAGGTTCTTAGGTTGGATTAAATATTTCTCTTTCAAATAAACACTCCAGGTTATTCTGATACAGGTGGTCTTCAGGCCAGACTGTGAGAAACAATACCTAAAGTAAGAGGGTCTTGGCTAGGGTGTTTCAGAAGAAATTTGGCTATTTTTTCTTTATCTAATTAGTTAACTCATTAATTTGCTCATGATTGCACAATCTATGATGGGCTCAGCTGGGACACTGGGACAGTTGAGCTAGGTTTCTCTCTCTTCATGTCATTTCAAGACTTTTTTCTCTCTACATGGCCTCTCTATATGGCTTCTTAACATGTGGTCTTTGCAACAGGGTAGCTAGACTTCATATATGGTGATTTAAGAATCCCAACAGCACAAAATGGAGGCTGTTAGTTCTCCTTAAGGTAGAGGTCTGGAATTGGTAGTGCTACTTTTGCTATATGCTATTGGTTGAAGCAAATCACAGGCTTAGTCCAGATTTAAGGGAAAGGGACTATTTAAGTGTGTGAACACTGAGAGATGTAGTTTACTAAGAGCCATAATGTAACAGATTGACAGGAAAAATAAGGAAGAAAATAGGATAAAGCTGGAGATGCTGCGAACAGGAAAGTGTTATATTAGGATATGATATGTACATCACGAAGAATGCTCACTTTTTAAAGGTGAACTACAAATTGGGCTCTGAGCATTTCCCAGCATCCAAGAAGATCGCTTAGGATTAAAGAATTCTAAGCAGCCTTGATACACAATAAAGTATCATTATTAATATAATGAATCAAAGTAATAATAATTATCATTTTTTGCAGTAGTCCAAGTGATAATGGACACGGGAATAATACAGATTGGAATAAGCTATCAAAAAAAAAAAAAGAGAGAGAAAGATTTTGCTTCTAATTAAATGTGAAAAGAGAATTATCATTAGTTTTATTAGGCATAGAATAGCATTTGAATTATGTAGAAAGCTGTCCTTATTTTTTTAGAGCTATATACTGAATATTGGGATTAGCCGTCATGACCGCTATAATTTACCTGAAATGCTTTAGCAAAAAAAAAAAAAAAATATATATATATATATAGAGAGAGAGAGAGAGAGAGAGAGAATATATATAGTAAAAATCTAATAATTATTAAATTGAAATGACTGATCATTGTTAGTTTATTATACTGTCTTCTCTGCTTTTCTCATATTTGAAAAGCCTACTAGTAAAAAGTAAAACGACTACACCAATATTTGTTAATTGCCTTCTATATTCTAGGTTCTGTTTTATGGAATGTGAACATCAGCAAATAGAACAGACCAAAATCACACTATAGGAGAGAAAGAGAGACAATAAATAATAAAGAAAATAAATAAGAACAACATACTGTATGTATGAGGTGCTAAGTGTTATAGAAAAATAGAGCAGCAATAGAAAGATTGGGAGTGCAAAGATGGGGAGCAAGTACAATTTTAAACATAGTGGAGACACCTGAACAAAGACTTGAAGGATATAAGGAAATTTTTCATATGTATATCTGGAAAGAGCATTTGAGGTAGCGGAAACAGCAAGTACAAAGGCATGGGCGTATCTGGTGTGTTCACATTCTGTAAACAGCAAGGAGGCCAATGTGAGAGAAGCAGAGTGAGTGAGCAGGGGAGCAGTAAGATAATCAAGTAAGATAAGAGGCCAGATCACACAGGTTCTGGTGGCAACTGCAAGGAATTTGGCTCTTATGAGAATGAAATGGGGAGTCGCTGAGTTTTTGATCAGAAGAATGACATAATGTGAATTTTGTTTTCAAAGGATTGCTATGGCATCTGGGTTGAGAAGGGACAATAGGGAGAAAAAGGATGGAAGCAAGGAGAGACAAGTCAAGAGGCAACTGCAGTAATCCAAGTGACTGATGATGGTCTTTGAATTGGCATTGTAGAACTCAATGTGAAAAGTAAAACTATAAATGTTCTAAGAGAAAACATAGGGAAAAAATTACACTGTATTGGCATAGGCGAAGCTTTCTTAGAACACGAAAGAATGAACCCAAAATTTAAAAAACATAAATTTTACTTCATCAAAATTTAAAATTTCAGCTTATTAAAATATGTCATTAGGAAAGTAAAAAGGCAAACTACAAACTGAGAGGAAATATTCATAGTACATATATCTGACAAAGGACTCATGTCAGAGTCCTATAGGTCAATAATAAATTAAACAAAACTATACAGGCAAAAAATGTAAACGATTATTTCATAAACAATATATTCAAATGGCCCTTTCTGTACCGATAGTGCTTTTGCAAACATAGGGAACGTTCCTAAAACCCGTGGGACTTTCTGTAAGAAGTGTGGCAAGTACCAACCCCACAAAGCGACACAGTACAAGAAGGGCAAGGATTCTCTGTATGCACAGGGAAAGCAGTGTTACGGCAGAAAGCAGAGTGGTTATGGTGGGCAGACTAAGCCGATTTTCCGCAAAAAGTCTCAAACTACAAAAAAAGATTGTCTTGAGCCCAATTGCAGACCTAGGAGAAAGCTCACTATGAAGAGATGCAAGCATTCTGAATTGGGAGGAGATAAGAGAAAGGGCCAAGTGATCCAGTTCTAAGCTTCATATTTTGATTTATTATGAAGACGATAAAATCTTGAGGATATGTTCACTTCTAAAAAAATATTCAAATGGCCAATAAACTTCTGAAAATATGCTTACTCAACGTTGTCATTAGAATAATTGAAATAAAAACTGCAATAAGATACCACTGCAGACTCACCAGAATATTTAAAAGACTAATATTTAAAAGACTAGACTCCGTAATTCCCTTCTAAAGTTGTATAGCCCTTTAGTTCAGTAGCTCAAAGGAAGTTTTAGGGGGACTGAGGAGACGAGGTGGTAAAGCAGAAGGGAGGCCTGGTCTGCTCTATTATGTATTGGCAAGAATGTGGAGAAACTGAAATTACCATGCAATGTTGATGGGCATGTAAAGTGGTTTAACTGCTTTGGAAAACCATTTGGCAGTTTTGTTTTTTTGTTTTTTTTTTTCATAAATTTAAACATATATCTACATTACAACCCAGCAATTCCACTCACAGATATAAACCTAAGAGAAATGCATATATATGCAAAAAGCCAAACGATAATAGTTGCTTTATTATAGCAGATTTGTTTGCAGTAGCCCATATCAGGAAACAACCTGCTGGTCCATCAACAGAATGAGTAAACAACTGTGGTATATTCATACAGTGGAATACTACTCGTAATAAAAAAGAACTACTTATACTTGCAATGACCTGGATGAATCTAAAAACCATGTGGGTGAAAAAAGCACATGACAAAAATAGTATATACTGTATTATCCCCTTTATATGAAATTCAAGAATAGAATTTATATGAAATTCAAGAAAACTAAGCTTTGATGATAGAAAGTAGAAAATTGGTTGTCTTCGGGTTGGGGTGCTAAAGTGTATCTTTTTTTTTTTAATTCAACAAATATTTATTCAGTGCCTATTTGTGCTAGATATTGGTCCAGGTATTTGGGACATATTGGAGAACAAAACAAAGGGCCCTGCCCTTGTGGAACTTACGGTCTAGTGTTCATGACCATTGTGCTTGCACACTGTTACCCTGGTCAAGTCCCAGCAGTGCCTCTGTCCTTAGCTGCCCCATGGGGGAAGAAGCAGACCTAGCCCAAATATGGATAATGTAACTGGTGCATATAGATGCCAAATAAGACACTGCCCCACCCACCACCCAGATAGTAGATTGGGCTGGAAGTCAACTTTTAATAATAAAGTATAACGGGGGAGGGCTGTGAGGTGATATATCTTGACCTGAGTGTTGGCTACACTGGTGTAGACACTTGTCAAAAATCATGTCTGTGCATTTTTCTTTTTATAAGTTATACCTTAATAAAGTACTGTAAGCATAAAAAGGAATGATTCCATAATTCCCCTTAAAGTTATCACTTTAGTCAAGTGGTTTGCATGTACTTGTTTGATCTGGCCTAGTGGCCTTAGGGCAATTAACAGGACAAGAGGGAGGCCACCCCTGCCCCATCTAGGGAAGAGAAACAAGAGGGTGTGACCTCTCTGAAGCCAAGTGAAGAAAACATTTCAAGGAGGAGGGAGTGTGAAATGCTGCCAGCAAGGCAGGTAGAGGAGGACTGAGGATCGACTATTGGATTTGACAATGAAGTTTACAAGTGACCGTGACAAAAACTGTGTCAGAGAGGTAGTGGATGTGAAGCTTTATTAGCGTAGGTTTTCAAGAGAATGGAAGGAGAGGAATTAGAAATGGTGAACACAGACAACCCTTTCCAATGTTCTGACTGTTTAGTGCTGTGTTCCTAGTGCCTAGCATAATACCTGGCATATATTTAAGAGATGTTCAAAAATATTTGTGTTGAATGGTTTGATTATAGGAATAACCCTGAATCCACTTTAATTTACTTAGAACATCACTCTCAAACATATGTAGTTTAGTTATGGGTAGTAGTTAGTCATAACACATCTCATAGGTCAGCATCTTTACCATACACTAAAATGTTTGTGTAGTCACTATTTTCCATTGCTGGTGACACCATTATCTTAGCTACTAGTGTTGGATGGAAAACATTTCCGTCTTGTTAGAACTTTGCTAAAAAGATTAAGGACTGAGTGAGATAATTAATTGGTTAAGGAAGAGAATTCTATAGATAAGATTACACGGGCCAATCTAGTGATCTCTTACAGAAAAAAAAAAAATTGCTTGATATTTGTTTTAGCTGCTCTTTAAGAACATTTTTGGTTTTTCGATAGGCAGGAAAAATGTTCCTTGCCACCAGACAGACAGAAAGTAACTCTTCCTTTCACCTTTGACCCAAAGTTCACAGAATGGCTGAGGACTAAGTGGGCCATGATTTCAGCAAGAGGCAAAGTCCCATGAGTGAGTACTGAGATAGAGAATGAAATCAATAGAACTTAAATGACAGTCCTGGTCAAAATGAAAAGAGTTAACTTTACCAGCAAAGGGACTATGTCTACTTCATCTACCAATATATCCTTAGTAACTAGCTCAATGCCTGGCACATAGCAGACACCCAAAAGGAACAGATGAGATAAACTGCATAAGAGCTTGGTCAGATGGTAATGATAAGGCAGAGACATCTTTTTTAGAACGATTTAAGACATAATCAATGGGAAGTCGGGATGAGCCTTCGTTTATGGAGTTTATGGGCAGAGGTCAGGGCCCAAGTGAGGTAATCTGTACTGGGGCCTCAGAGTGCCACGGTTAGCTCCCAGTGGGCCTTGCTACTCCATCTCAAGGCCTTTTATTTAGAAATGCTCAGACCTGCCCCTGTGGGACTGGTGGGACCAGAACAGTTTGCATAAGCCTCAATCACTCATGCTCTTGAAAGATGGTTAAATCAAGTATAGGATGATTCCTTTTAGCCTCAGAAGTTTCTTTATTAGAATGGTTCTAATTAGAATTGGACTGATGAATAAATTTATGACACATCATCAGGGTATCCCCCAAAAACATTAGAAAAAAGATTACTCAGATGCCAAATTTAGGAGGCAGATTTTTAAATGCCCACTCTATCTATAGTTCCTGTTTATTAGCACTAGATTACATGACCCTTTTACCTTTAACTCACCTCTGCCATTATTGATTGGACCCAGGTTAACAGCTGCTCTAAGCTGGGCCCATCAGATTCCTTCTCCCAGGAATACGGAATTGGTGGTAGAGAAATTTCTGAGGATAAGGTGAAAATGGAATGTTCTATCTTTCAGGATAGGAAATGTTCTAAGCACTTTATAGAAGCTGGTCAATAATTTTCTGAGATGAAATTCTTTTATCTAGGATACTTATAAATCCAGGATACTTATAGGCTATCCTTCAATTCCTTAGATAATTGGCTCAACTATAAAATCTAGTAAATGCCATTATTTGTGGTTTAGCTGAGCTACAAAAGAAAGAATGAAAAAATGATCTTCCCTTAAGAATAAAACTTAGTACATTCCAAAGAGGAGGATCCTTTAGGATAGCCATGCTCAAACTTGATAATAAAAAATACATTTTACTTTTCAACACATACACAATTGAAACAAGTTTCACAAAACTATATTAATCCTTTTTAGAGAATTTTTATGAGTTTATTTGAGCCAAAACTAATGACAATTGCCAGGAAGCAAGATCTCAAATGCTCCCTATATTAATCCTTAATATTTATGATACACCCTAATATTTTTAATTTTATTTTGTTTTAAAAATGCTGGTCATAACACACCAAACTGATTTCACAACTCACTATAGAGTTGTGTCCTGGAGTTTGAATAACACCAGGTATATGTCTCAGTCTATTTGGGCTGCTATAACAAAATTGTGCAGCTTATAAACAATATAAATTTATTTCTCATGGTTCTGGTGGCTCGGAAGTCCAAGATCAAGGCATTGGAATATTCTGTGTCTGGTGAGGGCCTACTTCTATAGACAACCATCTTTTCACTGTAACCTTACATGGCAGAAGGGGCAAGGGCTGTTTCTTATAAGGGCCTGACTCCCATTCATTTCCATTCTCTGCCCTCATGACCTCATCATCTCCCCAACCCCCCACCTCCTAATACCATCATTTTGGGGGGTAGGATTTCAACATATGAACTTAAGGGAGGGGACCTAAACATTCAGTCCATTACTGTATATTGGATAGGATTATAGTTCAGCAGATCTGTCCCCAACAAACTCAAGCTACAAAAAGAAAAGCATCCAAAAGATTAAACAAAATGAAAGAAATTAACCTAGTTTTATTGACAAAATGTTGCAACTCCAAAGAGAAGTAACAAAGCAATAAGAGTCTGGAAAAAAACATCTACAACAGAGGAATCTAACAAATCTCCAAACCATAGACAGCTAAGATTAGATGCATCATGTCTATTTTGAAAGAGATAAAGGTCATAATGAAGGCCCTCAAAGACTATAATAACAGGCTATGGCATTCTGGTAAATGCTGAATGAACTAAAAATTGTAGTGAAAACTACCCAGTATTTAACAAGACTGACAGAATCCATGACGCCAGTAAAGCTTAAAGCATAGTGGAGGTAAAACAAGACATTAAATAACCCTCCCCCAACCTATGAGGCAAAAGACCAAAGGCCCTACTGGATGTTTGACTTAGGAGTGGAGTTTTGGCTTCTGAGAGCCACAGTCCTATGACAATGAGCAATAGCTTAGAAGGAACTGGCCCTACCACGTACTAGCCATGTGACTTTCATAAACATCTCTAAACATCTGTTTCCTCATGTGAATAGTAACAGTCACTGCATTATTACTACACTGTGGTTCTCACAATTAAATGAGATAATGTATTAAAAGGTTTAGCAAAGTTCCTGGCACATAGTAAACATTCAGAAAACTAGCTGTTATTTCTGAGTCAGTCATAAAATAGACAGTAAGGTCCGGTGTCCAAGTGCAAATGTGGTGGGAAGAAAAGGGAGAGCCGAGATAGGAAACCAAGAAGGTTCAGGACTCAAGGAGTCAGTGCCTAAGGGATGGCAACTTCTATGAGAATCAAATTTTTGGGAGCATTCCTAGAAGAATAGGGTTGCTGCTGTGGAAAGACAAAATAAGCCTTGCAGGACATTTGGTCCTGTCCAAAGCATTCACTGAGACATTTGGTCTACCCTGAAAG